CACACACACACGCACAAACACACAAAGTGGGCTCTGATGCTGCAGTGGGGTTGGCAATGTTCATGTTTGCAGCTAGCTGGAGGGGGACCCACCATAGCCGTGGAAAGGAAGAACAGGTTCTCTCAGAAAATTTAGGTCTGACTGTCCTGGCTGACGCTACAGTTCAATCTAGTTCATGTGTGGGTGTTTCCTCCAGATTTAGCCTTCAGGGTCGACCAAAAGTTCACCCTGAGCTCCCGGGGGATGGTGACTTCCGGAGTAAACACGGGCAGGGCAAAACAAYGCTAATGTTTTTCAGGGATTGTTGTGTTCTGTTTCAATAGCACTTATCGTCTGAGTAGTTGCATTACYCAAGTATTTGGCCCCTGTGAGGAAAATTAATCCACGAACTGATACSCTGTTAGAGGATTGTTCAGGATGGCTGCTGTCATTGATGCAGCATTTTAAAATGATAAGTCTAATAAATGCATACGGTGCTGGTGTCCTGCCCCTTGGTCTGTCATACAACACCTTCATTTTCTAGGAAAATACAGGTCAATGTGAGACAGATAGAAAATTGTTGCATGTGTCATTTGGTGTATTTCTGAAGAATAATGACTTCTATAATCTGCATGCTATGCTGTTGCTCAGTCATGAAAATTTAGTAAACTGAGAAATCAGGGCAAARTGAGTCTTATTTCTTCTGTGCTAGAGGCACCTTGGAATTGATGGCAGAGAAGTTAAGCATTATCAATCAACACTTTCCATCCAGCAGCTAGCACAGTTTCATGCAKGGAGTTCAGTGTACCAGGCTAAGCATAGGAGAACTGTCAGGACTGAGTCATTACTCAGCATTTTCTACAGTGAAACACTTAGAAGGAGCAATGGGCAGTGGAGTCAGATGTTTCTCAGATACAATCTTAAATTCTTTGCAAAAATGCAGAAAACCTTTTTTTTTCCCCCTGAAATCAGCTTACATAAAACACAGAAAAAGTCTCTGCTTACAGCTATACCGGTCTTTTCCGGATAGCCACAAAGTGAGCCTCAGGACCACACTCTTAAAGGTATTGTGCCCTTTTTTCCTGCTCCTATATAATTTTTACTGCTTTTAGGTCTTTACACTATGTGGTTTCACTGAGGTATTTTCTGAAAGGAGCAGGTRTGTACTAGTATGTGTGGGAGGCTCCTGTCACTGCACTTCTCTGATTTCCATAAAGAAATGGTACAGCTTTACACAGCTGACTAAATAGAAGGCAGCATGAAAACTTTACGACACAACAAATAAAGGAATAAGGAAATAACTTGGGAGTAGTGTAAAATAACAGACAAGGGAAAACATATACAGGAACTAACAAAAAAAAAAAAAGAAAAAAGGTTGAATAATGTGTACCAAGATACCTGGAAATTGTACCAAGGTGCCTATAAAACACAGAAATCTATCCCATATTAAAGATCCCAGAGGATCAGAGTATGATGATAGTCTGCCTTGGAAATTACTCCTTTATATACATGTGTCATGTTCTGCAGTGATGCYGAGCCACTGTCCTAAATTCCAGCAGCACTGAAGCTGCACTGATGAAAGAATAGAGATTTTGTACATTTACTGAGAGTGGAAAGAGGCACAGAGGTTCCTTCCTAATCACTATGAATTCCCATCTTTCTGAAATGAAACCTCCTAACCTAGTTGTGACATCCATGTACATCACATAGGGCACTTGTATCTGAAATAACCTCATCTCATCAATGCTGARTAACTGGGCATCCATCCCAACCCTTGTTCTGCAGGTGACAAGTGTGTGCACACTAACGTGCATATGCCTGTGTTCCTCATGAGCCAGAGCTTGGCAGACATTAGCCGGTAATATACTCTTGTAATACCATCCTGGCTGCTTCCCAAAAGGAAGGATGGAGTGACAGTCAGACCATAATGGGATTGCACAGTGGGGGAGAATGACCTGTCTTCTACCAGGCAGCGTAAGCAGCGCCACTTGGTGTGTGTGAAGGTGTGCAATGACACAGATCTCAGAGCCCTGCCAGTCTGCCTTGCTGTGCAACTCCATGAACTTGCTGGGATGAAATAAGCCTTTCCCTGAGGAACAGAATGCTCAAGAAAACCATGGGATGCACTTGGAAATCCTTTACTGGTATGTAATTCTTATTTAGTTCGCTTTGTTCCCTGCGCTGTGCCTTTCAGAGTTAAGAGACATCAGTGACTTAGAGCTACAAATCTGCTTAGAGGAAGGGAAGGAGGTTAGTGTAGGCAGGARGAATGCTGAATGAACAGTTTAAATTGCAAATAGTTAAACATAATCCACCTCACTTCAGAAACCTCAGAGAAATAACTAGTTTAACATAAAATGATGTTTGATATCCAGGACTTGGTGATGCAGAAATGACAAGGCCAGTTTGATTTAGCTGGAGAGAAAATACGAACGATAGTGCCRTATGCAAATTAAACCCTTTGATTCTGACATCAATCTCCTAATTACATAGGTGCCAGGAAGAGGCAGTTTTGTTAACACTTGTCTATCTGGACAGACCTATTGCTTTGAACAACAGGATTAAATTCACCAGAGTTCATCCAATTGTATTTTGTTGTTTTTCTCAGCACAGCATTCATCATAGAATCACAGAATGGTTTGGTTTGGAAGGGACTTTAAACCCCATACAGTTCCACCATAGCATCCACAATCCTAGGATCCTTTAAGCCCCRTCCAACTTGGTCTTGGACAAGTCCAGGGATAGAGCATCCACAGCTTGTCTGGGCAGCCTGTGCCAGTGTCTTGCTACATACTTAATAATTTTTTCAGCTTTATTACTTAAGATGTGACTTCACARTCTTCACGTTCATAAATTTGCGTACAGAAAAGGTTACAACAGTTAATTAGTATAGACCATGCTACAGATTACCGCTAATTACCCCTACAACTGTTCCTGTGCCCAGCATAGTCCCTCACCAAACTCTGTGTTCAGCAGTACCTTGTGTTGCTTGTTCCTGGCAAGTTCCTCTCCTGTCTTTCCTTGTCTGCACAGCTCAGTGCCTACCCAAATCTGAGCTGCCCCTGTGCACTCACAGGCCCTTTTCTGGAGGCAYCTTTAGCCTGTTTATCTCTCATTAGCTCCATGTGCTGCACAGAGCGTCTTGGCTGCTTCCCCTTGGTATATCAAGTCTCTGCTCCCTCAGCTTTTGTTTTCTGCCTCTTCAATATGTCAGCTAYGGAAATAAATCTCTTAGTACATATTTCAGCTGTACAATGAGTTGTACTTTTCTTTCAGATGACCTCGATTTCCTTGTGATTCCACCTCGTGCAGTTTTTATAAGACAGAAATCCTGTACTTCTCTCTGAAACAGTATAGGCATTGCTTGGGCACAAATGTTAACAATGTAGTTAGTTTTAGAATGAGATTCTCTGCCCCCAAACAGGCTCCATTTGGAATTTCAGCCGGTATGTTTTGTTTTCTGAAGGAATATTCATGGTATTTTTTTGTCCAATTACACAGAAAGCTTTGAGTTTAGATATCTGCCTTGGTAATATAAAGGTATGTATTTTGATTTCTTTGCCAATATTTTACCTTTACCTAATAGAATCAGTACTTGGAATTTTGTTAATCACATACAGCATATAGACTTCTAAAAACTGTATCATCTTCTAAAGARCTACTTTGAGGCACAATCTTTGAGTAGGAATGATTATCACAGTTAGAAAGTTGAAGGAAGTGTGTGGCTTTCTACTTCTCTCCAAAAGTCTCTGAGCSCTGAAGGGCCTGCACTCTATTTCAGCACCTGTATCTGCTGCTGTATGACTTMAGCAAAAACTTGGGTGAAAAGGCTGACATTAAAACCCAAATATGTGACATTGATAAACACATGCTACTCCCACTTATTTATTGCTATGCTTGAATTCCTATCTCTGGTTTGGACATGGAGCTACAGCAAGGGCCCCATCATACAGTGCAGCCACATTGAACCTAGGAAACAAGAAAATAAGAATTAGGGTATTAGGTATACTAGCACATGCTCTCAATTATTGCACATTCACATTCGGATGTTTGATAGTTCAGCACAGGGCCTTGGAGGAAGGTGACACAGCTGGGTTATAGTATATGGAAAAAATCTCATCTTCACTGTTTAGGCTTATCATAAGGGGTGGAATGTGCCTAACTCTTGAGTTCTTGCTTTGGCTGGAGAAACCCTGTATCTGCCTCTCCACAGATGGACTGCRCTTCTGTTTCTTTCCCATACTGGTATTTAACCAGATTTGCCAGAAAGGGACACAGGAAGTACATATGGAGCCATAGTCTATCCTGTCCTATTTTGGGCAGAGAGAAGTGGACAAATAGGGAGTTAAAGTGCCCCTAGATTCTAGAACACAGGGACAGACTGTTTGTTGAGAGATAAATGAATGATAGTGAAACCAGGACATTTTGTCCCATTATATGGATGTCTGTATGAATTTCAGTGAAATGTGATCAGTTAATTTTGGTTTGAGCTCTAGGTACCGTGGAACACAGACCACAGAGGACACAGACTGATGGGCATTTTCTTGCAGAAAGGAGCTATGGAGAACCAAGAGGAGGTTTTGATGAAGAGATGAGGGTCTGATTTTCTTCGTACCTAACAGGGTGACAGACAACCCCAGGGAAGTCAGTCGCGTTGGAGCAGAATAAGACCAGATACTAAACTGTTTTCTTCTGGGAGTGCTTTCCAGAAATCTGAAAGGATAAACGCCCAGTGGAGAGATTGAAGTTTAAGGTTCACCCAGAATTAGCCTTCATGCTCACTGGAACACCTGACCTGGAAATGACATATACACTGAACTGGGAGCAAAGTCCTGTAATAAATAACCGTGCTTCAGTCATTTCCTCCTTTGTGCAACAGAGAACTGGCACTTAATGGCACCAGGGCCAGTTTCACCTTCTTTTCCCTTATTACTCTAAAGTTTATGAAAAAGAGGGACCTAAGCTGCAAAAGCTACACAGTGAAGATTTCTTCTGGAGAGGTAAATTCCCATCCTGTGGGGTGCAATTTGGTTTATGGTGCAGCATTACTTTGTCGAGAAAAGCAGTAGAGAAAGCCAGGCGTGGCCAAGAASTGGCCATGCAATGAGGTGCAGGGGGTGGCCACTTACTGCTTCACTGGGAATAAGCATTTTAAATATTGGAATTGCATATCCTGGGATTATATGGGATCTCCTCCCTACATGTCTGCTCTTGGCTGCTGTCAGACTGAATCTGGAGCCAGCTGTCCCTTTGATGTGGCACTGTATGTGTGTCTCTGTTGCTTGCACCTGTCACTCCCTCCTTTTTCGTGGTCAACGTTTCTACTCTTTTACCGTATTCTGGTTTCTGCTGTTGGTGAGGAAGAGCTTGCCAGATGTGAATCACTGACTGTGGCCCATCTTTAGCCTATGTTTGCCAAGCACTATGCTTCTGTACCACCCTGCACCACCCATAGCAACAGGCCATCCTAGTGCTGAAGTTGATGTGCAGGTCTCATTTCTGAGTCCTGAATAAGGACCTGAGGACTTTGCCATAAGAATAACAGAATGTGAAAGACCAGCTGGCAAATCATTCTAGTCAYGGAATCACTCTCAAAATCAAGTTCTGTCTGTGGGGCAGAAAGTGGCTTTGAAGACTTAAGTTTCTTGGTTAGGACAGTATAAACGGCATCATCCCTTAATTAAAGCACTGTTGTAGATTTCTGACCACTGATATTTTGACTGCTATGTTCTTGACAGGGAATTTGTAATGTTATTGTGGTTCACTCCAGTCCCCTATTTTGCTGTTTGTGCCTTGTTGCAATACCTCCCATTCCAGCTGAGGAAGGTGAACTCTAGGCCTCTGTTTTTGTTTGGTGGTGGGTTCAAGCTGGAGGGTCTGAGAGAGCTCAGCTCAGGAAAGTATGAATTAAACCTGTGTCTCTGGGATAGTCACTGAACTGCTGGATCAATGGACCAGCCAAACGTGACTCTATTGCTCATCAAATCACATTGCACTKTGGGGACTTTTTATTACTGAGCCAGCCTTGAAGTTCAGCCAATAATTGTGCCTAGCACTTAACTGAGAGAACTATTTTGTATGAAAATGTGCACAGTGAAATCTTTAGGGCTGAGAGCATCTCCAGCATTATTTGGTAGAAGTCAGAGCACCAACTCAGTGCTGCAGGTTCTTTGCTTTGTGTAGATGGTGTCATTGTTTCTACATTGGGTGTAGCTTATTATGATATCTTCTGCCTTAAAATTATTTTAAGGCATTTTGATGTTTTTTTTTTNGCTGTCAATTCTCATTAAAGCCCTTTTCTGACCTAACATTATGTTCTTGGCATGCAGGTTGCATACAGTGATCTGAAACATAATGGTGATTTTCAGAAAGGTAAGTTCTACTCTTTGCTCTGATAGAGTGATTCATCTGAGGCCCAAAGAGGAGAAAATGACCTTAACATCATGGTTCAATCAAAAAGAAAGTAGCAATAATCTAGTATCAAAAAGGTATAAAATAATTTCAGCCTAGACTAGGGAAATAGAGGTGTCTTGCCTCACCAGGCYATGCTTTTGTTGAGCAGTTGACCTCTGTCACAAGGTGTGGCACTGAAACCAAACAAGTTACCTCTGGAATTTTATTCAACACAAATGAGAGCTATTAGGCTGTACCATTCTTTATAATCTTGTGCAATGTTTATAGATGCTTTACAATGGTTGCTTGGTTTTAAATGTAAGCCACAAAGTGTTTTGAGGGGAAAWWTWTTTTTTTTTTCAGTAAAAACATTGAAACTATGACAATCAATGCTACAGTGTGTAACAGTAGTGATATATGACAAGACGGGGCTAGAAAGTCCACAGATCTACMACTCTTTTCAGTTTTTATTCCATCTTTCTGTTTGAATCTGTTTTAGGGCCTGGAGCAAGAGAAGCTGCTCCTAAGGGCCTGGAGTAGGGGAGTATAGCCATGACACTGGTTTGGACATCACCAAGATGCTGCTCATTCATAGGAAAGGGCAGCTGTGGCTCACCYCTTCCTCCAGGGAAACAGAGCAGTTCTTGCTTGTTCTGCAGAGGGGCCAGGTGTTGCCAAGTGTCTACAAATGTGAAGAGAGGAACTGGGCTGGATAAAGAATGTTGGTGGTTTTTTTTTTTCCTAAGAGACATAATGGATGCACTCACATTTTAGCTATAGCAGGAAAAAATATATATATATCTACMAATTCTCGCAGCTGAGCCCTCTAAATTTCAGGCATCCCATGTGTACATCTGTTTGTTTGTATTTCCTGGTAAAGTCTATGTTCTCGAGAATCTCTTCTGAGACAATACCATAGCTCATGCAAGGCTGCAAAGRCAGTTCCCCAGCATTCACTGTGCCCCCAGCCAGCCCTCTGAGAGGTAGTAGAGCTGCATTATTGCTGTCCTTGGAAAGGACCCTTGGAAAGGGTGTTGCCTCATTGCCTCTTGTGAGACAACTAGGTTTGATGACTTGTCCAAAGTCATGTTCCAGATCAGCTGTGGAGCTGGGAGTAGAATTCAGAGGTCTGTGAATGTACTGTTTCCTCTGCCCAAGTAAAGAAATCAAATCACTAAAAAAGGAAGACCAAGAGGTGTTTGCCCATGAGCTACATGGCATCAAGTATATTACTGTACTTGACAGTAACTCTTTTCTCCCCAGGGTGATCATGTGTGGCTGGACACTCAACCAAACAGTGAATTTAATGTCCCTATTGGGGCAGTTGTGAAGGAATCTGATTCAGGACGGATCTTGCTGGAAGATGATGAAGGCAAGGTGGGCTATGCTATAAACTTCTGTAGAAGATGAACACAAAATTTAAAAGTACAAAATACAAAAGAAGGCCCTTTTTGGTCAGTCCAAAGCTCCATCTATCCAGATGGTCTGACTTCGATAATGTCTGGTCAGATATACTGAAAGAAAGACTATGGAGATAAGGCAAGTATAGAATGGTCACCTGGCATCTCCAGGTCCAAGCACTAGGAAGGCTGAGAGCTTCATGAGACGGAGGTTGTATCTACAAGGTTAGGAAAAGGAAATGGATGGGCTTCAATCCCTAAATTTAGTGAAGCTTTAGATGGAAGCATCATCCCACTGAAATAATTTCATCCCTAYCTCATACAATGTTCTGCCTGTGATGACAGAGTTGCACACTGAACAAGTGTTTAAATTTGTGCTGTTCAGAATCGACCCGAATGGCTTCATTCAGTATTTTAAACCATCTAGACCTGGGGTGCAGCAGCCCAGTTAAATTCCTGTAGGCCAGTCACCTGTCTGTTAGAAGATGTTTGCTTGAGAATGCATTATGCTGAAGCTCACTCTAGCCTAACCCAGCTCTCCTWTGCTTGCCTGTGAGCCACAGCATCATGTGTTAAAGTCCGTGTCTTGCCTTTGTTAGGAGCACTGGATCACGGCTCGGAACATGCACATGGTACGCCTGATGCACCCCTCCTCTGTACAGGGGGTAGAGGACATGATCTGCCTCGGGGATCTCCATGAAGCTGGCATGGTGCACAACCTCCTCATCCGACACCAGGAGCACAAAATCTATGTGAGTGCCATGGTCACTTCTAGGAACAGCCAGGTCACTGCCAGATCACTTTCAGGAACAGCCTCTGCATTTAGCAACTGACTCGAGCAGCCTGWGAGCCTTTCACACATGGGACCCTCTGACTCCTTTACTGACTGAGGGTGCCAATAAGACACAACATAGTTTTTCTCTTCTTTTACTGGAGTACTTTGACTGTGAAGAAGACTGCTACCAGCAGCCCCTCAGCCACAGTGCTGGCACAGGTAGTGACCCGACTTACTTTCTCTCAGAGCGATCATTGCCACCAGTCATTGACAGTGAGTTAAATCCAGCCCATTTTACAGCTTAGTGCTGCTATTACCTGCAGGATCAGCCTGACTGGTACACAGTGACATGATTTAAATTGTCCCTCAGTCCGAGCCAACATTTACTTGATTTTGGTGTAATAAGATGGCTAATAAATAAATCTGGATACTTTGTCCATTACAAGTTTTATCTGTAACGGGGCAATTTGGTATTTTTATTTTCTTCGTTCCTTAGTTTCCMGTTTGTAATACGAAAATTAATATTCAGGTTTTCCCATGCTTTGCCTCCCATGTTATATATGTACTGGAGAGAAGCTGCTGCTTACAACATAGGTGGGATGATTTTTAGTGTAAAAAAGGATTGATTTATGGATGCTGCAGTTATAACGACGAGTGTGTGTATATAGACCTGTTATATTAGACTAGCAGCCTGCAGTTGTTTCATGTYGTTTTTGAACAATATTATTGCCTTACATTTCAACAGCCTCCTTCATTTTACTTGTGATGCTGCATACAAATGTTTCTAAATCACTGTATGGATAGCACAAGTATCATTTGACCCATTAGCAAAGTTCAGCTACATCTGCACTGGAATACAAAGGCAGCTTAACAAAACACTGCAAAACACCTCATGATAACCCCAAAGTGCCAAGGTCAAATTGGACTTTTATGTACTTCAGCTTGAGACAGAGAACTGAGGTATGATTTGGCAAGGAGATTACACCTAGAATTCTTCCTTGGGCAAAACCCTCCTTATTCGGGGATGTTTAACAGCAGCTGATAACAAGGAACTGGGCTCTCAGCATCACTCAAGTGCTGCTATGATATCCCAGGCTTCCCTTCTGCCTCCATTTAGATTTATACTGTGAGTGGCTTTGGTTGCATTCTTGTTTGTAGGTTTGCTATAGCGATAATACTAACAACTGTTTTCCAGACTTACACGGGATCAATCCTTGTAGCAGTGAATCCGTACCAGCTGCTGCCCCTCTACACGGTGGATCAGATCAGACTGTACTGTAACAAGAGGATTGGAGAGCTTCCACCTCATGTCTTTGCCATTGCAGACAACTGTTATTTCAATATGAAGAGGAATAAGAGAGACCAGTGCTGTGTGATCAGGTGACTGGACTTGGAGAGGACAAATAGCAGAAACAAAGTCTGACATAGTTTTAGGGCACCTTTGTGGACACAGGAGACCTTCCAAATAGAAGGAAATATTTTCTTCCCTGCTTCTTTATTTTCAGTTAGGGCTGCAAAATGTAGAATAAAAGCAAAGCATTTCCAAAGTCCATTGTTTTATTCCAGAATCTTTGAATGTGGTTGTACATCTGCACATTATGCAGAATCATAACACCTGAACCTGTATGATATAGGGCTATCTTTTACATTGGAGACAAGATATCTGTGTTACATGTAGTTTCTGAGAACAGACATTTCCTGAAGAGAAGTGACCTCTCCTAACCCGAAGATGGAGGGAAGATTTCTTTGTCCTATAAAGAATCTATTTTCTCTTTGTCATCAGTGTGAAGAACCAGGTAGTCTCATTATAACAGTATCTGATTATAGCTGAKCCAACTCAACTGATGTGCTAAAACYAGCATTGACAATCTAGTAATGCAAAAAAGAAGACAGGCAAGTGGTCATTTAATTTGCAAAAGTACGTAATGCCTTCCATGGATTTGCTTGTTTTTAATTGGTTGGAGAATTCAGTTCCCAGTCTAAACTAAGTCTAAAAAAACAACTTAATTTCGAGCAATTAAGATGATTCTAGCCCTCAAATATTCTAGCCCTCTATGAAAGACAGTCTGATCTGCCATTTACAGGGAAGTGGGATTAAGTAGGATTTTTTTTTTTTTAACTTGGTCTGCCATTTTACCAAAAAAGAAAGGAAACGTGTAATGATCTTGTTTCTTACTGCAGTGGAGAATCTGGAGCTGGTAAAACGGAAAGCACAAAGCTAATACTACAGTTTTTGGCAGCTATCAGTGGCCAACATTCCTGGATAGAGCAGCAAATCCTAGAAGCCAATCCCATTCTCGAAGGTGGGTTATTTAGCAAACATGGCTGATTTACCATCTTTATCTCAGGATAAAAAAAAAAATCAGAAACAGATCTTTGAACCATTGTATCTGCTTAACTGGTAACCCCCTGAAACACAGGTGATGCACTGTAAATGTTCTCTATACTTTTCTGCCATGYTCCCATGCAGTTCACAGAAGCTTTGCTCTTATGCTACAGGAGGAGGTGCCACTGTTGAATGTAAACTGGACCTGGTGGGAGCACAAGAGTCCTTGGGAATGCAGAGCCCACAGCAAAGCCTCCTGGTTGAGCATTTGCCTTAGATAGTGACAAAGTGACTGGCCAAGCATGGATGCATCTATACGGGAACTCCCTTAGACACTCATCTTTCTCTGTACAGGGATTGACAKGTTCCCAGTAAATCCCTCTGGAGGTCTTCAGATCTCTTGGCTGGCCAGATATAGACCACATTTGGATCATTTGAATATGTCTTTTAGGACACAGTTATCTGGGTGCATGGTATGCCTACCTCTTTCTTCATTAGGCAGACTGAGACTGGACATTCTCCAGTGCTTCTCAGCACTATCATTTGGAATACAACGTGTAAAATACTAGCAGCGAAATAGAAGGGCAAAAAAATAGGCTTGATGTTCATGAACTGCAATAATCCAGACACTTTCTCTGTCCCTTGCCCATCAGCTTTTGGAAATGCCAAGACAATTCGAAATGACAATTCAAGCCGCTTTGGGAAATACATTGATATTCACTTCAACCAAAATGGTGTGATAGAAGGAGCCCGGATAGAACAGTTTCTCTTGGAGAAGTCCCGRGTTTGCCGGCAGGTGAGGGCATTGTCAAGTATACATTCTGCCTGTTCTTGTGTTAGAAGCTTACCCTGACAAGGCTGTGCATTGGCCTCTTTATTTTTTTTTAGGCTCCAGAGGAGAGGAATTATCACATCTTCTATTGCATGCTAATGGGGATGAATACAGAGCAGAAAAAGATGCTGAATCTGGGCACTGCTTCAGAGTACACTTATCTCACTATGGTAAAAATCTCTGCTTTATTCTCCATTATCCCTCTGCCTACTGGTGGACAGTACAGTAAGTGTCTGAAACTGATGCTCACAGCACTTTTGATATTACTGCTTCTAGTTCCCTAAGGGAAGGACTGTTCATATTTGGTAACTACCATCTGTATCTCTTACTGATTGTAATTGCTCACTGGGAGAAGCAGGTCAAAGCTTTCTGTCAAAGTCCAACTTAAGAAACATAAAGGACATCTTAAAGCAGAATGTGGACAACATCCTCCACTTTTCCAGACACTCAGATTTCAGACACATGCAAGGGATCTCATGCCAGGGAGAACAGTAATCATATGTGTGTACCTTAGAGGAAAATTAATGAGAATCCTAGTCCTTATACCCAAAAACTCTTACATAATGCAGGCAGCTGGCATTCAACGTGACCTCCCATGGTTGTTAATGACCATGCCTGAGTTTATGATGCCATTGTGGCAGAAGGGGATCTTCAYAGACATGAATTTTGAAAATAGCTAATGGAGTGGTTTAAGACATGAAAGCCATGATGAAAATCCTGTCTTTTAGCCTGTGTAGATACCTTGTATTAAATATACCAGCTGGTTTGATTTGGGCTGTTTTCAGCTGTGGAAACAGCTGTGCAGCAGGTTTAAGTTCTGCCTCTACTGAAATTAGTTAGAGCTGGGCGTCTAATTTCTAGGAAATGAAAATAAGTTTATAATCTGTTTCTGGAGTCCCAAAAGCACAACCATTAAAGTTGTGGAGATTTTTTTCAAATGTAATGTTTTCAAAATAGCAGGGATCTTGCAGCAAAGCTGATGAGTGCAATTAACCCGTTGGCCATTTGATAAAAAGGCCCCTGGGTCAGCAGTAGGGCAGTGTGACACTGTGATAGGAGGATTGGATTAGAGGAGAACATATCCATGGTTTTTTTAAGGTTGGCTTTTGGCACAAGCTGCCATGTTTACATGCTGTAAGCTGAATTGTCTAGGAATATTTCACTTTTGTAACCAACACATTATATTGCCAGAAGTAGCAAGGATAAAAAAGACATTTCCCCATCTCCATTAGAGCTCCAAATAGTTTCTATCAGGAGCAGCATCCTAGGACCTGCTGTGCAGGCTTTGCTGTATGTTCTTCTGATGCTGCCTTGGATGCTTCCCTTTGCCTTCCACTAGAACCTAATATTTCTTTTTGAGATCTGCCTTCTAGTATTTACCCAATCTAACTTGCTCTCGTTTGGGATGAGGGCTCTTAATTTTCCATTGACAAGGCAGAGAGAGGAAACCAAAGAAACAGACATGGCCTTGTAAATGTAGGTAACCTTGTCATAGCTTCCTGTCTTTCCATGCTCTAGAGCAGCCTTCCCCTCAGCTTTTCCTTTTGGCTTCCCAGCATTCAGTCTAGCCCTGGGGAAATGCATTATTGAGCTCTCTGCTAATGAGATCTTTTTGAGAGCAAAGATGAAGGAAGATACAACCATGGGAAGAAGATACAGAATGTCTAAATAGGTTTTTACCTGGTGTCATTGTGGACTCACAGGATAGCCACACTGTGTACAAAGGTATGTTAGTCTGCAGGTGCTTTCTTCCTTGTCAGGAGGAATTTCCTTACCTGTTGGTATGGTGCTTGCAGGGCAACTGCATGTCCTGTGATGGCCGGAATGACGCTAAGGATTATGCCCATATTCGCTCAGCTATGAAGATCCTCATGTTCTCAGACTCTGAGCACTGGGACATCAGCAAGCTGCTGGCTGCAATCCTGCACCTAGGGAATGTAGAGTTCCAAGGTAAACTCAGCAATGCCTGTGCTTACCTTTCCTCAGACTTGATGGTAAAGGCGCTTTCCTTGGGTCCTTCCTGCTTCCACCTGCACAGATTAGGTTGTGTTGCTCTGTCCTGTATTAACAGGTGGACTGAGGTGTAAGGGCGGGCAGATAAGCACCATGAAATTCTGATTTGTGACTCCACTGCCAAGTGTTTTGAAAAACAGCATCTTACTATCATTTTATCATGCTGTCAGGTCTCCACGGTTGCAAATAGGTTCTTATCACACAAACTGAAATAACATTGTATAATATCATGTTACATTTGCTGATTGTTGTTCTACACAAGCCAGAAGACACATGAGTGATGTTTGTCATGGAGATAATAGCAGTCATCCTCCTGCATGGGTGAAATCAGGACCTTCCTTGGTAAAATCACCAAACCTGTCAGTTTCAAATGAGACCTGAATACCTTGCCACATTCCCAGCACCATGAGGTTGTAAAAATACAGTTACATTAACAGCAGTGATGGTTCCCTCTGAGACTGGCTGTTTCCTCCTTGCAGCGGCCGTGTACGATAAYCTGGACTGCTCCGATGTGATGGACTCACCACACTTCTCCATTGCCACCAAACTGCTGGAGGTAAAGGATTCCCATCATCTCCTGTTGTTTGTTCCTTCTTCATTGTTCCGTGAGCACACTGGCAGAGCACATCTCTGGAGTTTATGAGGGAATGCACATTCAACAGGCATATCCCCTCTGTCCTGCCGACACTCCAGTGATGCTGTTGCACATGTCTCCACAAGCTGGGATATCTTTAACTGGGACAGCAAGTTGCCAAAGGATGCTGCTAGATAAGCAGTTTGTCATAGCCCTCCTCCTGATACAAACTTTGCTGGGTCTCTTTTATCCACCTGGCATGACCAGGTTGCTATGTCGTTTCTCCAGGTGGACTCCAGTGAACTCCAGAACAGCCTCACAAACCTCTCCATCATTGTCCGAGGAGAAAGTGTCTCCAGGCCTCTAAACGTGGTTCAAGCTGCTGATGGGAGGGATGCCTTTGTGAAGGTACTAGTGCTCACAGCTTTTCTGTTTAAAGATTGGGGGTGCTTTCAGAGATGTCTTTCTTCCTGGTTGAGGAGCCTTATGTAATAAACATTGACTCAGAGGGCCCTTGTAGTTCTCAGGTACAGTTTGACAGCACAATAACAAGCAGTTAAGATGTGTCCGAAGACTCTAATGATGGGCTCTGATTCCACTTTAATTTTTTTCTCAGGGTATATATGGACGGATTTTCTTGTGGATAGTGAACAAGATCAACTCAGCCATTTTCAACCCTGCTTCTCAGAAGCCTAAAGACAGACGTCAATCTATTGGACTGCTGGACATTTTTGGGTTTGAAAACTTCAGCAACAACAGGTAGGAGACTCCAGATGCAATCCAATAGGAAGCTGGAAAGCAGCTGATGTAAAGGGAAAGAATGAAAAAGCAGACATATGCTCTTTCATCATCATCCTGATTCTCAGAAAAATTGTGAAAATTCCATTGCTGAATTTTCCCAATTATGATCAATGCAGATTCCGTTTTCCTTCAGTCTTGATAAGATTTCTGCCTCCTTCACCAGCCTTCATTTTAGTGCAGCAATTACGCATATCCAGAACCTGAGGAATTTTCCAAGGGGAGATGGCTACGGAGTGGCTATGAGCAGGCAGCCACTATGTGAGGATGTAGTATATCCCTGTGTCTCTGTACCAAACTTTCCTGTTYTAATAAGCATTTTAGAAAATCTCTCTTGGGATACATTTGGCATGTAGTACAAAGTCCCTGGCCAGCACACCATTGTGTCACTGCTGTCTCTTCCACTGGTGTTGCCATTCCCAAATCACTGTTTCTGTTTGCCCTTCTCTCTGGAGGGGTGGGAGGAGCAGCTTTCTCATTTGTCAGGTACCATCAGTTCTCCACAAACCATCAGCATATGCTCTGCAATCTTTTGCAATGCATTTGAACTGATGCCTTTTGCATTCAACCTGATAATATTCTTCAGTGACTTTTGGAACAGAATCTAGTATCTCTATCATCTGTCTTCTATCTTTTGTGTTTTCTCCTGTAATTTTGTGCTGTTCCCAAAGTCTGCAGTCCCAATGGGTCCTCACTGTGGTGAGCACCCCAGAGGCACACACTGTGTGCCACAGCAAGTACCAGGTAATGATACTCAGGTGCAGCATAAAGGACGAACAGAAGAGCAGTGCCAGTGCAAGCAGTAACCTGTCACATGCTCATAAGTCAAGCGATTTTCAGTTACATGTTCCCCTTTATCTCTGGAGTTTCTTGAAACACAAAAAAGATCTTTTCTTGCCTACTCAGCAACATTCAATCATCAATTGGCTCATTGTTGCTGATCTTTGCCATGGCAGAAAATGCCTCCCTTGTATTGCTAAGATTAGCAATGTGCAGTGATGGCTCCACAACTAGCACTGTGAAATGTGGCAGTGGTATATCTGGATATGCATTTAATGCATTAAACAAATAACAGAGAGCAGTGTAGCATTGTCCAAGGATGACCATGGCCTTTCATCTTGTCCTTCCCCAGCTTTGAGCAGCTGTGCATTAACATTGCAAATGAGCATCTTCAGCAGTTCTTCGTGCACCATGTCTTCAAGCTCGAGCAAGAGGAATACCTTGCAGAGCACATTGCCTGGAACAACATTGACTTCACTGATAACCGCCAGGCTCTGGAAGTCATTGCACTCAAGCCCATGAATATCATCTCCCTCATTGATGAAGAGAGCAGGTTCCCAAAGGTAAATTTCTGGTTTCACTCATCATGCTTGGTTTTGCACACAGCTCATAGGTAACACTTAGGTTTAGACATAGAGAAGTGCAAAAGTGGCTTTCAGATACATTAGAAGAGTCAATATCTTCTCCCCATATATGWTTCTTTCAAATTAGCTCACTATACAACTGCTTCACTCTCTGCTGGAATGTGCTCTTCCTGGTGCCTTGCTGTTGAAACTTTTAAGAACTGTTCCAGACAGAGAAAGGAGTCCAGGTCACCTTACTAGGGCTTCTTAGGAAATCTTTGAAGTCGTTTATTGTTTGAGTATTGTTCTGCTGTTGGCCCAGGCTGCAGCTTGTTCTTTCTTCCTCTAACTGACAGACTTAATTGAGCCATGTCATCATAGTGAGGAACTGAAGGGGARTTACAGGCCTGACAGCTGACCTTGGTGCCAGGGAAGTCATAAACAGCTCATTTTGAGCATCATCATAGACAGCACATACAGAACATCAAGGTGATCAGGCCCAGTCAGCAAGGGCCCTGCTTGATAACATGATCTCCTTCTGTGACGAGGTGACCTGCTTAGTGCATGAGGGAAAGCCTGTGGCTGCTGTCTGTCATTCAGTGAAATGCTATTCTGCAAAGCCAGTCATCTCAAACAGAAGAGCAGAMATGAAAGTAACATCTGATCTCAGACATCCCTGTAACACATTTTCATCATCTGCAGAGCATGGTGAGGCTAAGCTGGAGTGTTGGTGCAAGAGTCAGATGACAATGAAGGGTGTTCAGGAAAGCAAGCCCCTACCTCAGTTCATTTGTAATCCTTCAGGTAACAATTTGAGAGGATAATGTACAGACAGACAGCTTTCCCCTTTCTTCCCTAAGAAGAGGGTGGTCCCACAGTTCAATCAAGAAAACATCTCTTCTATGATTCCCAGAGCACGTGACTCTTGAGAGCACAGCCCCCACAGCCGTCCGGGCATGGGCCAGTGCACAGAATTCACATAGCCCATGAGGAGATGGCATCATGATGGCACCCTTGAAGAGAAGCACCCAGCTGACTGCCTTGCCTCTGGAACTCATGGTCTGGGCATGCTGACTGGGATCTGCTCAGCGATTCTTCCAAGGATCTCTGAGTCTTGCACAAGTTAAGGAATGCAAGAACTGTGCCTGCCCAGGAGAGGAGCAGGCACCCCTTTCAGCTTCCTGGGTAGGAGGGCATGAGAAAGTTGCAGGGGGGTCTTTGCTTGTGAGGTCCAAAGATCTGGTAAATTCTCAGTACACTTGGTGATGTTAGTAATATTATGGGGACTTGTGTACAGCCGTAGAACACCAGGCCTGTGATCGATGGTGTGTTCTGCCATGATGCTGGAGACAGGGGTCTGTGTAAAAGGGTAGATACTTGTGGCACTACTTTCCTCCAGATCTACTACACACATAAGGGCAGAATTTGAGCTTGTGCTATCTCTAAGCACCACTTCTGCTTGTTTGCTGAGCACAGGCCAGTGCTGGGGACAATCTGCTTAACCATCCTTTCTTACCCATATTTGTTTCTAGGGCACAGATGCCACCATGCTTGTCAAAATCAATTCCCTCCATGGTAAAAGCAAAGTCTACATCCCACCTAAGAGTGTTCATGACACCAAGTTTGGCATCAGCCACTTTGCTGGGGTTGTCTTTTATGAATCAAAAGGTGAGCCTATGTCTGCTGGATATGGAGGGTGAAGGGAAGGGTATGACCTGCTCTGGATAAGTGGCTCTCCAGGCTAGTGTTGATCTGAAGTTGATCAGGAGGTCAGGAGGATTACTCTAAACCAGTCTGCAAGTTACTGTAAATTAAGTGGATTTTAGCTAGACAGAGTGGTGCTAGATCCAGCAGGGTGCAGCGATGACAGGCTAATTTTGCTTCCATCCTATAGATTTCCTGGAGAAAAATCGCGACACATTGAGTGCTAATGTAATGCAAGTGGTCCATGCCTCCAAAAACAAATTCCTGAGAGAGATTTTCCAGGTGGAAACAACCCCACCTAGTCTGGGACGTGGGACTATCCGGCATCTTGGATCTGACCAGGTCTACAAGGTTGGTTTACTGGCACTGTTTTGCAATCAACTAATTTCTCTGCCCTTCCATAAAGTTTTGGCTGTTCCTGACCTCCACTTTCTTTTGCACTGTCTCTGCAAATCCCTATCTCTTTCATTCAAATTCTTTCTGCCAAGGGGCCTGCAGGAAAAGTCAGGGTCTGGTGCTCATGCTGTAAACAAGTGCACTGTCAGCCCTGTCTCCCKGGTCTGCATTCCTGGACATCTGTGTAGCCACGCCTGCAAGCTGTCTCAAAACCCTGAGTTGTGATGCCTCCCCACATGTTATCATCAACTGGACAAAGTTAATGATGGGTCATTATCACAGACTCCACCGTGCCTGGTGTGTCTGTGCCTAGTGAAAATAAGGGTGTGAAGTGCAGTGGACTAGAAACAGTTTAAGGCACAGTTCACTTTCTCTGTCCTGCTCCAACTTCTACATACCTTGATTTCTGAGCATGTAACTATGTAGTGTCACCAGTATGTGAAGGTATTTTTGCTTTTACTCTTTACATCTGTGAGTTTTCCTGTCAGGACACAGAGTAGTCAGCTTGCTATCTTACCTGTTATCTGTCTAGTCGTCTTGCATTGTTTTCTGACCTTGTCCTTTCTTCCTCTGTCTTTGTCCCAGTGTGGCTTTCTGCTGTCCAGAACACCTGGCCATGGACAGGTAAACATCCTGGGGGCAAAGAATGTCAGAAGTGGTATAAGCAGTAACAGGGATGCTAAGGCTTAGCATCTCTTAAATGCTATGAATACCTTCAGATTAAATATCAGGTGTATCTACATTGCTCTAATGATCTAACAGATTTTGTCCATATAAATAAGGCTGTGTTATTGAGAAAAAAAAAAAAATACAGCAGCGTGTCAAGAAAGGAAATACCAAATGTGGGATACCCTGTGTCAAAATGCACAGAAATTAGCTGTTGATGTTGAAATAAATGGGACCACCATTGGGAAGCTTAAGAAGCAGGCTACAGAAAAGAGTAATGAATGATGTACCAGAAAACAACTTTTTGTCCTGAGGTCTCAGAGTTCCTCTCCCTGACACACCATAGCAGAAAAGCCATCATTAACTCAGCAACACATTCAGCTTTAACAATGCTGTGTGTGTGAGATCATGAGATCATGGGCTTTGGCCTTATGTGGCCATCCCCCTCATGGTACAGCAGAAAGGCCTCTAAGGTCTGAGAGTGAAAATCRCTTTTAACTCTTATACAGTTAAAAAGGTATATGCTGTTATCATACCCACCTTGGATGGTTGCTGGCTCTAAAATGCCTCAGAGATGTGACGAGATATTCCCAGGAGCTGTTTTCCAAAAACACGAGTGAGTGATCACTGGAGGGCAGCCTTGCTCTGTAGCTGAAGCAGAAGGTAGAAATCTGAATGCTCAAAAAGGCACTTCTGGAGCTGTAAGAACAGGAAGATAAGGTACCCTGAAGACTGTGGAAGTGAGGCAAGCCACTGGACTTCAAATTATTTATTTTGAAAAACTTCCAACAACCCCAGAACCCTCCATCTCCCAACAAACAAACAAACCAGCTGTGTTGTGCTGCAATGATCAGCTCACTGCCTGTATGTAAAAGGCCAGTGGAGTCCTTTTGTTATTTGGAATCTGTACTGTTGTCACTGTAATTTAATGTGCCCGTATTGAGAGGTAAAAACTTAGGCCTAATGTGATGATTTGTGTGAAAAAGACAGAACTGTGTTCAGAGGGGCTGGAGTACCTCATACCTTATCCTCTGGTAAAAGTTTGCCTTTTCACTGCTTACTATAGTATTAATGAGCACGGGGATCAGTCATCCTAATCCCAAAGGAATGGGTTATTTCTGGATCTTTAGCATTCCTAACTATGATGATAGCAAAATGTCTGGGCTGGAGTTTATTCCTGCTTTGTGAGTGGCTGTTTCTCACCAAGCTTTCAGGCACATCCCCAGGAATCACAGTTTGGCACCCAGGCACAACACTAAGCAGCATTGGTTGGAAGAGACAGGTGCATGTGGGCTCCTAAGAGTGGAATTACTTCCACCACAGTCACCCCCACTGCTAGAAACTAGTGCCCAAGTAGGTGAAAGCACTTAGTGGGGGCTTTCTTAACAAAAATAAATCCAAATTAATAAGATGCAGATGGCCAATTTAGCTCCCCTGTAGGTAAATAATTTTTTCTGGTGGTTTTGGGATACCGTTTGTCTCAGTTTGAGACAATGTTTTCAGAGAGAAACATTACAGGATAAATGTTTCCTCTGAAATGAAAAGTTTGATAATTTTTTTCCACCAATATGAAACAGGAGTTTGGGTGAATRTGAAGAGAAAAACAGTTTATTAACAAAACAAGGTGCCCACAGGACACAGATTAAAGAAACTGAGGAACTGTTGGATGTTTAAAACTCAGGAATGCACGCCGCCCCCTCCGCCTCCCATGGCTGCTCGGCACATGGTGCAAAGATGGCGTCAGTCCTGTCTCCAGGAAAAAAAAGGAAACAAAAGAAAAAAAGTCCACGTGGCCKCTCGGGCAACAGTGGAAAACCTGGTGGTAGTCCTYTYCTCACTGTGGAYGAAACAGAGRGCTCRATGTGCTTTTTCTCTGGCTGGCTTGGCTTCTCTGGAGTCTGGGATGACATGGAGCAGTGCCCACGGCTTGTCCCTGCTGGTGCCCGGCTGGTCRGTGCTTGCCTCCTGGTTCTTGGACCACAGCCCCAACAATCCACTCCAGAAAATCATAGGAGTTGCAGAAGGGGTAGCAGTCCAGGGAGAGCTGTTTCYCAACCTAACAAACCTGAGCTATCAAAGCGGAAGCAATGTAACTCCCCTGCATGCAGTGAGCAGAACTCCCACAGCTCCAATCTGAGCTCCAAAAGCCCCCAGCAGCGCGGCAGTCTGGCTTTTAACCACCTGCTCTACCTTTCCAGCCGCCCCTGCCCCTTCTTCTGGGTCAGATTTAAAGGCACCAGGACATTTTGGGCATACAAGCAGACGGAATATAGGAATAGAGTGTTATAGTAAAATCAACCCAAGACACTGTTACATTTTACAAAAATACAAAGGTTTATTAATTGGCCTCTGACAGTGAATGTTGTTGCACTCAGTATGTGCTTTCTCTTCCCAGGGCTTGGATACCACCAAGCGACTCTCGACACTTGGAGGACAGTTTAAGCAATCCCTGGAAAAACTAATGAAAATCCTTGAGCAGTGCCAGCCATTCTTCATCCGTTGCATCAAGCCAAATGACTACAAGAAACCACTGGTAATGTTCTAACAATATGAAGTCTTGCCTTTGGTAAAGTTTGTAATGAGAAAAGTCTCTTAGTTGCTGTGTAGCATTTTTATAGCTGTACTTGCTTGCATCCAAGAAGAGCTGGACTACAGGCTATTCCTGCAATAAATATAGGAGGAGGATATAGTGTTGTTAATTTACAAAAGCATCTCAAAAAAAGCACCATAGACTAATGGATAACAAAAAAAAGCACTTAGGTGTATTCCTGAGCAGAGTTATAGAAGCCTTTTCTGTAAAGATAAAGACAAAACTGAAGAGTTTGTAGCCTCTTAACAAGGGGACAAACAAAAAACATTAGGATCAACAATGATCATATTATGAAATAGCCTGAGAGAGAAGAGCTGTTGGTGTTTGATAGAGGGGTGATGTGGCTTAATCTGACACTACAGGAGAAGAGGAGTCAGTTTGTCATTAGGATGCATGGCTGGAAGTCCAGGGATTTCAACCCAGCTCTACTCTAAAACCTTGTACAATGTTGGTCAAGKGAGTTAAAAATTTTTGAAGCACTTTATGTGGCTTAGTGAGCCAATTTTTCATCTCAGATAAGATTAAATAATATTAAGAAAGGAGCAGCATGCCTGCTGTGCCTTGCATGGTATGCCCAAAGGCCTAAGTTGCTACTGCAGTTATTCACATCTGCAAAATTGCATGATCAATTCACTGTTAATTTGAAATTGCAGTTATAGAATGAAAAATGGTTGCTATTAACAGAATTAAGTTAATGGAGTATTTCTACTGCTGACATACACAAACTTGAAGACCCTTTGGCTTGATTTGTTTATGCTTGTAATGAATTAATTTTGTGCACTAAAAAGACCCCACAATTTAAAAAAAAAAGCCCAGAAGGCCATTTTTCAGACCCTCTGAGGCTGGAGGTTAATAGATATATTCTGAGGGATACTGCACATATTCCTTCTTTCAGTGATAAGTCTTGTCTGCTTTCTCTTTCAGTTGTTTGATCGTGAACTATGTATCAAACAGCTGCGATATTCAGGGATGATGGAGACCATTCAGATCAGGAAAGCTGGCTACCCAATTCGCTACAGCTTTGAAGAGTTCTTTGAGAGATACAGAGTTCTTCTGCCATGGTCTCTTCGACAACAGGTATGTAAGCAAAAACATGATTTAAGGCTAATCTAACTTTTCCTTATGAAGCTTTAGTCTTTCCCATGGCAGAAAGTTCTTGAATTACCACTGGCAGAGCTGACAGCTGTCAGCACAGAATATGTCATCACAGGAACTGTCATCACCGTAAATTATAGCTAAATACTTAAATACTCCCTTCAAACTTAGATGAAAATGCAGAGTTGCTTTGAGGTCCAGCTGTTCTTGGCCTGCTCTGTACACACATCCCAGGCAGGGTAACATCCCCATTCCCATTGCCCTCAGATGTTTCTTTCCTGTAGTCACAAACTTATCAGGCCTCTGAAAACCTCCTCACACTTTGACTCTGGAATGTTTGGTCATGCAATCATGTTCCTCCTCTTCCTGCCAATTTGAGGTGAACCACTTTCATTCATTATACTGTCAGCTGAGAGGTCTGCAAGACCTCATCTGTTTCTGCTCTTTGCCCTTTGGAATGCAGGGCAGTAGATCCTTGCATAGTACAGCTGCTGTGTTTCACAGCCAAGCCCTAACATCATGCTGCTTTTGCACTTCAGCTGAAGAATGATGCTCGACAGGGCTGCATTAGCATCTCTGAAGCAGCGCTGGGCAAGGATGAAAGCTGGCAAGTTGGAAGGACCAAGATTTTCCTTAAAGTAAGTACAAAGGACAGTTTATTGTCTCTTCTCATGAAAAACTGGATGCTTCATAGTACTGGCTTGGCCTGCTTGTGCAAGAGGGTGACCAAGGAGGACTAAGGGTTATCTTACAAACTGTCTTGAATCTGAGGGTGGATCTTTGTTCTTGAAGGCCAAATAATTCACTGGGGAGAGCTTGGTCTAGGAGAGGCTCCTGTTTCTGTGCTACAGCGTTGCAGCTGAAACAGCACAATGCAATGGATTGGAGCATAAAAAAGAGCAGCATACCAGTGCACTGTTGCAGAGGACCACCCTGCCTGTAGCATACTCCCAGGTAAAAACAGTCTTGCTGCAGGCAGATTCTTGCTCGTTTATGGCTATAGCTAGACCAGGTCTGGTCAGGTGGTGTGCGCTCTTCCTACTGCAGTCTCATAAATGCATTTTAATTACATTAAGCCACATCATGCTGATTTTGGGCCTCTTTAGATCATGTGTCCCTTTCCAGAGGTTGTAGGTGTGTCTGCTAAGCTGGCATATCCACACTTCCTTTTAACAGGATCATCATGACACTGTATTGGAGCTGCAACGCCAAAATGCCCTTACAGATAAGGTTCTTCTTATCCAGAAGGTGATGAGAGGATTGAAGGACAGGTCAGTGATCGTACAGAAGGGAATGCGCTTTAGTTTGAAGTAGTTAATCTTTGTGATGCAACTGAACACACTCTGTGCAGCATTTTTTTGAGTATGAAATRTATCAGTCTATACCTTCCACCAGCCCTAAATTTCATGCTCATCATGTTACAGTGTACACTGTATCTATGCAAATACTGGACAAAGATTTGTTTAGCCTMAATTTTGTTATTTTCATTATGTTTTTCAAAATGCAGGACTGTGGCATGTATGAAAAGGAAAGCTTGAAAGGAGGATTTGCTCTTGATATTTCTAGTAAACAATAGACATCTCGAAAGCAGGAAATCCCCATGGAATCTGTGCCCTTCTCAGAGCTACAAGAATTCTGTTATTTAGGATGTTTCCTTGAGACAAGATGGAGAAAAGAATCAAATAGAAACTAACTAGTTTATCTCTTTGCCAAAGATGCCTAATTCTTGCATTGTGTCTGGTTTAGTTTGAAWTATCTTCAGAAGTGAAATTTAGTCACTGTCAAATAAATGCTTGTCCTCATGAAATGCTTTAATCATGATCTATACTCATTAATCTTGTTTCCCCTCAATCACAACCATGATATAAGACTGAATCTTGGTTTGATTTAGAAACAGTCTTGACCCTAGTGTAGGAAGAACTAAAAAACATKACACAAATGCCCCAAAACTTCCCTCTTTTTTTCAGACTCTGCCTGCTATCCAACAGAGTATCCAAACCAAAAGCCTCAACTTGTTTTTACTTTTAAACCATTGGAGCTATGTGCTACTCTTTCAGCTGCAGTGTGACAGCTTGTACCATGGAAGGCTCATCTTGCTCAGGTGGACTCCTCGKCCTGGCAGCAAAACACTAGGGAGCAAGAGGTTATTAGATGGGGAAGTTAACTTATCCAGTCTTGATGTGAGGGGTTTTCAGTTCTTACAGAGCTCTCTGACCACAGAGATGAATTTGGTCTGCAGCTGCTATGAGTACTTTTGCAGCAAATAAGACTGACATCACACTGTGGACATCCCATAAAAGGAAAAAAAAAAAACAAAAAAAAAACCCCACTTTTTTCTTTACTACTTTCATAAAAAGCAACAGAGATAACCTATTGTTTATCACCTTACATGTCTGTCTGCTTAGGAAGCAGTTCCTTAAACAGAGAAAGTCTGCTGTAGCCATTCAATCAGCCTGGAGAGGCTACTGCTGCCGGAAAGAATTCAGAATGGTAAGATGWAGGTGTATCAATGAATATATATTTGTGTGTGTTTATATATTGTGCCCTGGCAGACTGAGTGGAGTATTAGGAATTAAGAGATTCACTGTAGGGAAGAGAGACTGATGGGAGAAGAGAMAAGATGTAAAGAAGGGTGTAAAGTCGAAGGAGGGTTCTGGGACCTCTCAGGGCTTCCTGAACCTGTGACATTTCTGCTGTCTGGTGAAATAGGAACCCAACTCATCTTTGGCAGGCCTGGCTCCACAAATCTGACATATGAGTGATCCCACACTTCTTACAGTCAGAAACCCAAGCCTAGCTTTGATGCCTCCTGACCATGCTATGACCAAAGTGTTGTCTGCAACTGCTRCAGGGAAACTGGGAATTTGTAAAAAATTACCAGAAAAGTCATAGATCAATCTCACATTACTAAAAATTTTGCCAGGGTAGGTTCAGGTTCAGATTAGATATTAGGAAAAAATTTTCATTGACAGAGTGGTCAGGCATTGGAATAAGTTGCCCAGAGAAGTGGCGGAGTCACCATCTCAGGGCTATTGAAGAGATGTCTGGATGTGGCACCTGTGGATATGGTTTATGGGTGGTTATGGTGGTGCTGGATTGACAGTTGGATTCGATAATCTTCAAGGTCTCTTCTAATCTTGAWGATTCTGTGTGATCCTGTGTGAAAAATGTTGGCTGATCTTCTATAGATGGTGCATTTTCTGGGTGAGGAAAACTGCGATCATTCAYAGATTGTGTATTTGTGTGGCAGGGATGATTATTATTATATCTTATGTATCCCACTTGAGATGGGCAGGAGGAAAAACTGCCAGTCTTAGAAACATCCTCTATTCTCCATCAGTGATGCAACTCCTGTCTGTAGAGACAGGCTGTTGTACTCCTCTGCTGCTTCTATTGGCATTGTCACATCCATTGTTCTAAGGATGTGAATTTGTTTGTTCATTTGTTTCCATTCACTTGGCTCCATTTCTGCTCTGTTCCTTCTCTTGTCATGATCCCAGACTACCATCATCACTTTCTGGACCCACCTTCGAGAATAGAACCCCCAAAAAACTCTGTATACCAGTTTTAAAGGCCTATTACTCGTAGAAAAGTAAGCATAAAGGGTAATATTACATTAGTCAATTCAAGTGCCTTCATGTAGTTACCAAATTTTATTGTCTTCTACTTATCCCAGCTTACATCCCAACCCATCTGGCTTGTTTGGAACCATAACGATTTCTTTTTGCACTGCCCACAGGTGCTGCTGGGCTTTGGGCGCCTGCAGGCCCTGTACCACAGCCGGCAGCTGGCTCAGCAGTACGAGGCCACCCGGTCTCGGATCATCAGGCTCCAGGCCATGTGCCGCGGTTATCTGGTGCGTCAAAAGGTAGCAGAGCAGAGGAAAGCTGCCTGTGTCATACAGGCATATGCAAGGGGCATGTTCGCTCGCCAAACCTACCAGAGGATGAAGGGGGAGGTAATGCTCACAGATACCTTGTAAACACATTGTTTTAATGAACTTCCAATAGAGATCAGCACATATGCCTCAACATAGCATTGGTTGTGGGTATTTATTTTGGGGTATTATATTTTGAACTCTTGCCAAGTACAAAAGCAGCGTGTTAAGCACACTGATCTTGTTTACATTTGCTTTTTGTGATCATTATCAYGGATCAAAACTTTACTGATGCATCTGCAGTGGCTTTGACAGAAGGGAGAAAAGATAAGATCTGTGTGTATCAGCCAGTCCTGTAAGGGGAGATCAATTTCTACAGCAAGGCCTGATAACGGCACTCAGGGATCCATTCAGAAGGGAATCCCAACGCAGTGTGTCATGCTCCCAGCCCTTGGCAGTCCATAGCACATGGGAGGCCTCTCCCTCATTTCATTTCATTTCTGTACTAATGCGATACAAACAGGATTAAGCCAGTCTGCAGATTTCTGCCTGTAGCCTGTTCCCTAAAATGCCAAATCTACAACTGAGTCTCTATTGGGACAAAGTTCTGGTGTGGACAGTTTGTTAATGGTAGAAGGGAGTGGGCTCAGCTATTGTACAAACAGTCATAGAATGGCCCTGTTGTCCACAGAACAAGCTGGAAGCCAGGAATATCCACTTGGAAGAAGAGAAACATCTCATCGAAGTCCTGGGACCACTGAAAGCAAAGGAAGAAGCTGTGAGATTACAAAAGGTGTGCTGGTGGAGGAACACTGGCCAGTGTTGCCCAGCTCACGCCTGAGGGCCTGCTCTGAGCACTGCTATATTTAAAGAAAGAGAAGACATAGTTGTAAACCTATGTGTAGTGATGCTTTGAAAATAGAACAAGGCAAACACATACACATTTCTGATTGCAGCATGAACTAGCACTTTAGCCAAATATGTCCAGTGCTATTACAAGTCTCCTGACACAAAACATTTTAAAATTTTGAATAGTGTATGGTTTTCTGCTGTTAGAAATTCTGTGGTTTTCCTGTATTATCTCATTGATAAAAATCTTGAATAATTGCCCATCATTATCAATAGGCTTACAGTCCATAAAGACAACTCTAAGAGGAGGGCCCTGCTGCTGATGTGCCAGGTCTYTGTGAGTGCTTGACACAAGCGACATTTGACTTCTTGTTTCAGCACTGCACTGGYAGAGCTGGACCTCACTGTCTCGCACCTTTGTAAAAGTGTTTCATCTTCATATCACTTTTCTCTAGCAGAATGATGTTCCTTCCTAATGCTCATGTTCAAGTCATGCCTAACTTATTTCTGTTTTTAAAGGATCACCTGCCAGTTCGGGAGGAAGAGCAGGCAGAAGCAAGACAAAGGAGGAACAAGCTTGCCAATAAACCAACAAATCATGATGTTATCAGTGACCAAGAAATGGTGGACAAAATTTTTGGGTTTTTGCCTTCTATGATTGGAGGCCAAGAAGGACAGGCTCCTCTGGGTTTTGAGGTACAGAGCTGCAGACTGGTAATGGGTCATGCTTATGCCTTGTGTAAGCCCATTGACTCTTAGAATTCCATCAATGGTTCAGTTCTGTTTAATGAACTTCTGTGAACTTCTGTGCAGTGAAAGAAACTAGTCATCCAKTCAGTGATGCATCTACTTGCAGAGGTCAGTTCCCAAAAGCTTTTGGTCACATGCAGTTTAGGGGTATAGCTTAGGAGTATGGCTTCAAACTGCTTCAAACTGTACGTTTGTTTCTTTGGCCCAGCCAAACAGTGGCATTCTCTGCATTTTGGCACCAACCTCATACTCTGCTGACAGTGGTCTCAGTGATTTTCTGCCTGAAACAAGCTGAAAGTTCATGACCCAAGTTATACTATATTCTTGAAAGCAAAATTCAGGATATAGTTGTCCTGATAGCTGTGGAGGGTGGAATTATGTAGGAAGAGTTTGGGCAGAGTAGAATGGTGTGGATTGGTACAGGATAAGAACAATAACACCTGTATTTTCCATCAGCAATATTGAGAACCAAGATGGGAAGGTCATATGGAGTGGATGCATCTCAGGAGGACAAGCGCTGAGTCCAAATGACTCAGAGTTCTGTTGGTAGCAGCTGGAAATGGATTTGGGGTTAGCTGGAAAGGCAAATTCTGGAAGATCTATAACYGAGGGAGAAAAGGTTAGCAAAACCAAACAAAAGAATATCAGAGTTCAATAAAAGAAAATATGTTTCTTTCTCATGTTCTGCACAGGACTTGGAAATAAAGCCTAACAAGCTGGAGGAAGTAGACCTGGACATGGTTCCCATGAGTGTGGAGCTAGAAGAAGAAGCAGATGGCTTGGAGGAGTACACCTTCCACAAGTTTGCAGCTACTTATTTCCAGGGGTCTTCTACTCACACGCATATCCGGAAACAGCTGCGGCATCCACTACTCTACCATGAAGACAAGGACAATGTCCTGGTATCTTACTCCTTCTTCTTGTAGTTGAGCCTGTTGTCTCCGAGCCCTGGCTTTAGGTCCCCTCATCCTTGGGTCCTGGCCCTGGCACAGCCCTGAGAACAAAAGACTCCAGAGCCAAAGAGATAGTCCTGACCCTTTGTATTGAAAGCAGCAGTTCCCATCAGCATTTTTTGGCACTTTATATACAGGCACTTCAGACAAACACCTACCCAACACAMGATCTCTGGTCACCTTTGGTCTGCCCTAAGAGGGAACTCAGAGGTGTGATTTGACTTCTCCAGACAACCTTTGGGGGRAAAAATGGACTGGAGAAAAGAAACATGAGAGCTTACCCATCTCTCTGCTCTTGTTAGGATTACTAGTCTGTGAGATAGGACAGAAGGAGGAGGGCCAGGCCTCCAATATCTGGTTGAGCCAGATCAGTATTGAGGAGGGTGTTTTCCTTGATTCTAAGCAGCCTAGCAGAAGAGAGGACCCTATGCATCAAGAACYTTGCTATTACTTGGCTTTCTAGTTCATGAGGGGTCCTGACAGACTCCACTCCACTGCTTGTCTGTCCAGGTGGGCAAATGCAGAGTGCAGTTGGCCAAGGTTTCTCCACCTCCCTCCAGCCACAGCACACCTCTAAGGTGCCAGTAGAGGGAATGRTGAGGGCTCAGCAATCACAGAGGAAATCTGGCCTTCCCACTAGACCTGTACGCTCCTCCTTTAGCATGAAAGTGTTGTGTGTTGCTGTCATGTTGTTTGGTATGAAACAAAACTCTTCGTGTAAGTAGCAAGAGGAAATGGGAATTTTAACAACTTGGGCTGGGTAAAGGAAGAAAATGCTCTTAATTTAAACAGGCAGAAATGGCATGAAGCCATTGGTCTTTTGGCACTGTCTGACTGTGCTTTCTGCTACTACAGGCTTCTCTAGCTGTGTGGGTGATCATCCTGAGGTTCATGGGGGAYCTGCCAGAACCAGCAATGTTTGCCAAGAATGCCACCACCAAGAGCAGCTCTGTGATGACACAGATATATGACACACTTGGCAGGAAAAATCAGGTCCAGCTGAGGAGTGACAGCCCAAATATGGTGAGAGAAGCAGCCTATGTTTGTGTTTTCATTTGCTCTCCTTGGTTTCTGTGCTATACTACCAAGAGTGAGAAAAGCAGAGGAACTCTTTCATGCTACTGTACTTGAAATACCACAGGTGCAAAAGTGCACCAGTCAGTCCTTGCAGGACACTGAGCTCCTTCTGGCAGGAAAGGACAAAAAAAATCTTCGCTTGAGCATCTTTCTATCCTTAATGAATCATTCTTGGCTGYGCATTAAAGTGGTTTCCTATAATGGTAATGTGTATTGCAGAGAGACGGCAGAAGGGATAACAAGATTTCTAAGGGAATTTCATCCCTCAAACTGAAACGGTCATCCAAGCTGATAGGAAAGGTAAGATGTGGGAATAAATTGCTTCCCTTATTTCTTGCCTGGAACCCTATCTTCACCTTCTGACAGATGTTACATAAGCAACCTCCCAGCTGAGAAYTTGTTCCCTTGCCAAGCCAGGGCAGCCTTGAGTGGAATACCTGGTGCAGGGTTCTTTGGAAATGATTCCTGTGTGCCCTGATGCTATCTGTTCTCTGGCAGAGAACACAGGGAGAAATTTATTACTATGAATTTTTGGCATTACACAACAGCTTGCCCAGAGGCCTCAGCAGATTGAGAACCAAGTGCTTAGGTTTGTACAGGACAGTACAAGAAAGTTCTCCTAGCCAGTGATAGTGCTGTAACTGCACATTTAATGAGTTACCTTGAGGGGAAAGGGGGCAATATGGCCTGCTTCTCCTGCACTGGGCAGGAAGAATTTTAGCCAGAAAGACAGAGAAGGAATGTCTCTCATTTCTGGGAGAGYTGCCTGCTAAGAGGGGAGATTTCTAGAGCACTCTGGAGTTCCACTCTTTCTTTCAGGTGACAGACCAGCTGCGAAGTGGAGAAGAGGCTTTCCAGGAGGACACCTCAATCTCTGAGAGATCTATGTCCAACCTAGAAAAAGTACACTTCATTATTGGCAATGCAATTCTGCGTCCTGCCATCAGGTAGGAAATTTTTACCTCCTTCCTAGGGCCAGGTGCCTATTACATCAAGGAAATCCAGCAGCCTTTCTCCACAGTCCTGGAGAATGGCTCCCTTACTGGCTTTTCTGGTATTTTCATGTTGCTGTTTAATCCAGCTGACTCCATGTATGGCTTTCTGAATTCCCCACAGGTATGGAAAGGGGCAGAACTCAGGCCTATGACTCAATAACAGTGGAAGKTGGAGCGCAGTCCTAGAATGAGGGAAAAAAAGTCACTCAGGAATAAGAGTTAATGTATGCTAGGAGTTAATGTATACTAGGTGGATGAGAGGTTACCCAACAGCCTCTTGCTGAGCACTCAAGTTAAGTCCCTGCATCGGGGATAGTCAAAGGTCTGGATTGCTGTGTGTATCAGACTCTAAGGAGAAATCCTGACCACAAGCAGTGTGAGGCGGGATCTTAGGCCAAGAGTGGTGTGAGAATAAGACAGAAGCTCTTTGATTCTGATCTGATCCCATGAATCCTCCTCTTTGTTTTATCCTAAGCACTTTACTGTAACAAAGCCTGCAGGCATAGGCCATGCCATGACCTCAGTCATGAGCTGCATTCCTCTCATCAMAATCACTTTGTTTCAGTCAAGATACTCCCTAAAGCAGATTGTCTGGCAAAACAGCATTCATTCAGCATTGCATTCAATCCATATATCGTAATGGCCTCGGGCTAAGTACCTATTCCCTCAGTCTGTGTTTCACATATGTCCTATCAGGGAACAAAAAACTCATCCAACTTATGTCCTTTCACATCAGATTTGACAAATGTGTGTTCCAAGAGTCCAGAAAAAATTAAGATGAGTWTTTAATAGCAGTTTTCTTTTTATGGAGATTTTTGCATCTGTTTCCCTTAGGTCCTTGCTGCAGATAACTTGCATTTTCAGAGGCTTACTCTGAAGTGCTGTTTTCTCTTTTTCTGTACAAAGATTTACTTCAAGTTTGTATAGAAATATAAACAAAAGATATACATATGTAAATATATAAATATATCGATATAAAATTAAGCAGGRTATACCCCGTCCTTATCCCCAAATCCACCTACAAGCGGACAGACGAGCTGTGAGCTGTAGACAGGTCAGAGCAAGTCACACACCTAGACTCTTGRACAATGCAATGTCATTTCACAGCTGGATGATCCAGCAGTTGTTTTTCCTACTTGTCACAGGAGTCAATMCAGCATGGGAATTGCACTTGAGCTGTTTGAGTAAGAAAGGGTGACAAAGGGTGCTAAGCATGCCTGGAGCCTTTTTCATAACAAAAGTATTTCCTGTGGTGCTATCCAAGCTATTGTGGTTAAATCTAGCTTAGATCTACTTCATCATGCTGCAGTCCTGCCAAGCTTGGTGTCAAAAGGTAGCCAAAGACAGTTCAGACAATGACTCTATATCTGTTGCTCTCACATGTTTCATTACAGAGATGAGATTTATTGCCAGATTTGCAAACAACTCACTGAAAACAGCAGCAGGAGTAGCTATGCTCGTGGCTGGATCCTTCTGTCACTTTGCCTTGGCTGCTTTCCTCCTTCAGACACGTTTGTGAAGGTACGCTGCTAACTTTCCTAGAGCAGCTCACRCGCCTCAGCTGAGCTGGTGTCTCGTGTATTTTGATGTCTTGATGCTCACAGCCACATAAATGTTTGGCTGCCAGRGGCAGGTGGTACTGTGGTTTCAGCAGAAATTTTCACATCTCATATTCTTATCTGGGAATTTAAATAAATTACTGCTGCGCTCACATTTATTTTTTTTCATTACATATAATACAGTATGGATTCTGTTGTTCATCACAGCCCTCATTTTAGATTTATAATCTGCAAGGGATATGGCAAATTTTAACCTCTCCAATTCTGCCTTTCCAACAAAGACAACCAAAAGGTGTGTCCAGTTACAACCTTAGTGATTAAATATACTCAGGAGGCCAGTAGAAAATCACACACCCAAGTTTTATCAGCCCTTACTCTATATCTCTAAGCCCTAAAAAGTCCAACAGATATTTGGGCTTTGTAATTATTCATTAATTTCCAAGTTTAAATGGATGGTAAATCTACTTCACCATAAGATAAAAACTCAACCCATAGCTCCAATTTGACATCAGGCTTTCTCCTAGACATGAGAGGCAAACAGGATCTATGGATGTGCATGAAACTTCAGCCTTGCTTTACTAACTCCCCAGTTCAAATGATCAATCTAATCATAAATGCTGCTAAATGGATGCTACTTGGAACAAACCAATCACAAGCCATAGGCATATTTTTACACCAGCCTTCATCCAAAGACTTGGAAYTGTGCAGAATTAATGAAAGACACGATCATACCCTACCTCTAGGAATACTCTTATTCATTAAAATAACCAGGTGAATGGCACATGTTTCACTGAATACAGATATGTAAATAAAAGTCCATGTCATCCAAGAGCCACACTCCAAAAGCTCAGTTTATCCAATTCATCTCTTCAAATGTCCAATCTTAATCATGGAATTCGATTATTGATATTGCCAGAGACCTTGGTAAAACCAGAATTATCAATCATCATTAGTCCTGCCATTAGTCCTCTTCCCAGCTCCTCCATTCATACCGAATATCATAAGACTTCAAGCTCTTGGGTTGAAAACACTAACTCTTGCTCTAGCCTAAACATAAGAATAAAATCTACATTACTCATGCTATTAARTATGGTGAATAGACTGACACAAGTCTTCTCTCCCTTTGGACTGAAAGTTCTGAAGAATGACTGAAAACCTTTTGAAGACACTAATTCCAACCCTAATCTTTAATATTTTCTGGTGAACTGAAAGCTAATGGACCACTCTAATCTAGTGTATCAGCTGTAGAAGAATTTTAATGTTTTCTGAGGATTAGTGTTTCCTAACTCCTCTTCTCCTGCTCTGTGCATGTAGTACCTGTTGAATTTCATCCATCACGGGCCTGTGGGCTACGCTCCATATTGTGCCGAGCGTCTGAGACGCACCTACATAAATGGGGCTCGGACTGAACCTCCCAGCTGGCTGGAACTTCAGGTAGCAACTCCCTTTTGGCTTAATTATATTTTTCTGGGACATTTTTACTGGTTTTTGTAAGTATACTACTTACTTTGTAGTTATACCACATTCAATAACCTGCAATAACAGACCTTCCTAAATCAAATAATGGAAATCAATTGCACAAGGGGATTGAAGACCAGCCACCTTGGTCTGGGCAGTTCCTTGGATACACCTCTTCTGGCTATTCAGTTATCCTAAATCCAGAAGAGGATGTAAGCAGCAGCAGATCATTTTCAGGAAGATACCTCCATCCACTCAGGAACCACAGGCCAGAAACAGCCTCCTGAAGAAAAGTCTTACTATCACTGCTGGAAAGAACTGAGCAAAGCTTATGCATTCAAAATTAAAGGAAGAAAGAAGTATGATGGTACTATATTGTCCTCCCCTTCCTTTAAATGTCACCCTAGTAATTGAAAATCATAGTCCTCTTTCAAATAAAGACCCCAGTTCGATTCCTCCCTAAATTTCAGGGACGTTATTGCTTAACACACATCTTCCTGGGCAAAGTACTTGCTGCAGACTATCTCTCCACTGACACACATAAGGCTGTACCCAAAGTCATCAGGACAAATACTGCTCATGAAAAGTCTATCAGTCAGCACTGTTATCAGCTCTCCTGAGCTATGAGGAAGAGAAAACTTGAACTCAGTACTGCTCCAGAGATGTAATTTATATTTACGACTCACCATGCTTTGAAGAAATCATGTGGGTGTTGGAGATTCACTTGAAGATTATTGACTGGGTTGTACACTGTGTGGAGCTCTTAAATCTAAATGCTTTCTTCATTCTTCAGAAGAAAGTAAGGTTTGCCCATAATTTGTTTCTCTCATTTAACTCTGACTTACAGGCAACAAAGCAGAAGAAACCCATTATTTTTAATGTCACCCTGATGAATGGCCAAAGCATCACTGTCCCTGCAGACTCTGCTTCCACTGCCAAGGAGATCTGTCAGTTCATAGCAGATAAAACAAAACTGAAAGATACCTTTGGGTTTTCACTCTACATCGCTGTGTTTGATAAGGTAAAGTGTGAAAAATAAATGAAGGCTTCCTTCTCTTTCTGTGGAGTTGCTGCTGCCCACCCAGCCTCACTGAGGACATCCTCTGAATTCTGGAACACTCTCAACGCAGTCCTGCACTGAAACCAAATCAGTTCTGAATCCCTGCTAGATCTCAGGATCTGATAATCCTGTTCTGCATTTCTGTTGGCTCACCACTCAGCAATTCCTGCTGCAGCCCTGTAAGATTTCCTTTGGTACATAGCTGACTATGTTAAAATACATCCACTTACCACATACAACTTGCACATCCATCTGCTTACCTTTTTGAAGTTTTTCTTGCTGTCAGGAGACCAGGAGCTTTGTGTTTATTGTCCTTCAGGCAGCTCTAGAGCAGGCATGCCAGTAAATGCAGTGTCCCTTTGCGGCAGGTCTGGTCACTGGGCGGGGGCCGAGACCATGTCTTGGATGCCATCTCTCAGTGTGAGCAGCTGGTGAAGGAGCGGGGCACACATGAACGCCATGCACCCTGGCGCCTCTACTTCCGGAAGGAAATCTTCACCCCCTGGCACAACTCTCGTGAGGATCCTGTCAGCACTGATCTCATTTACCACCAAGTCATCCGTGGCATCCGATTTGGGGAGTACCACTGTGAGAAGGTGGGTCTCCTGATTCATCCTCCTGAAGAGACAAAATTATGTTAATGCTTCCCACATTAAAAAGCAGGAATATGAACTCAGTTTGTAGTGGATGTCAACAACCCTTCCCTTTTTTTTGATGAACAGTCCCTGTCCAGGTGATTGTGCCACTGTCACACTGGCAGCTCTAATTAATACTTCTTTCCCTCAACCTTCAGTTCATTTGGAAGCTGAGACATGTCCAAAGGAGCAAATTGGGTCGTACTTTAAAATAACTTTGCTAATAACCTTTCTGATGTTATGATTGTGTGAAGTTCATCCCTCCTATGCTGGATGACTGTTAAAAAGTTATCCAGACAAAAATGGAGAAAACCCATTCCTAAATGGTTTAAAGATTAAAAGATGCTATCTAGCCTTTGTGACATCCTTTTAGGCCTCATTTAATGGATTAATTGTTTCAGGAGGAGGATTTGGTGGAGATAGGTGCAAAATATTGTTATATCCAATTTGGAGATACCATTCACAATGAACTTGTGCAGAAGGTGCTACATGACTGTATCCCAGTGAAACAGCTGAAGTCCAAGCCCCTGGAAAAGTGGGTGAGCCTTATAACCTATGCACATGCTAAGGTAAGAGGTTTGTCTGGCAGTGCTGGGTAACCACTCTTTGAATACCAGCTTATGCTTCCATCACCATTTATAAATAGTATGTAGGGGAAGAAGGAAAAGCAGCTCAGTTTGTAGATCCCAAAAAGCTTATTAGGTCTGATGGAGCAGAAAACCTTTCCACTCACTCTCCATGTAAAGAGCAGGGGGGACGAAGGAAAAAATACATTTAAGTCTCTGAATAGTGTAGCTTTTAAGGCTTTCTGTTTTCCATCTGACAACAAGTCAGGATGGGCATGGGATGGAATATTGTTTTTGATCTGGGAATGGATTATCTGAATTATTTCCATGGCATCTGAAGTGTGTTAGACTCTGAACAGGTCAGTGGGGGTTTGAGGGAAATTTGGAACTGAAACGGCTGTGGGTACTCTTAGCTGCATGTGGGTCCCTGGAGACTGTCCCTGATTTACTTTGTCCAAGTTTCCTTGACACCAGTAACAGCAGAGGGTTGTTGGAATCTCTGGGATACTGCTTGTTCTTTATTGTCTGCAGATCAGGCAAATCAGATTTTATTGAGAAAACCTCAGGTGTGTTTTTTCCTGCAGGCCCCATACACACAGGACCATCTCTCCTCTCAGACTGTGAAGGAGCAACTTGTAGATTTTGCTCGCTTTCAGTGGCCTTTGCTTTTTTCCAGATTCTTTGAAGTCACTAAGTTTTCAGGTAATACCTAGAGCCTGGGAGTACAGGACAGATATAAGATGAATAGGGGAAGACTTGTATAGCATTGATAAGGATTTTTCTTCTGTATTTTCAGGGCCCAGTCTGCCTAAGAACCACTTCATTGTTGCTATAAATTGGAAAGGCATCTGCTTCTTGGATGAGTCAGAAAAGCGGCTCCTTGAGCTGACCTTCCCAGAGATAACTGGCATCCACACCAACAGGTGAGGACCCCAGAATGACAAGATCTGAAGAAGGCRTCTCTTCCATACTCTGAAAGGGTGTATCTTGTCTGCCACCTCCTTAGGTGATTTGGTCTATGCCTGGAGGGGTGGTTTAGCCTAGGTGTAGGAAACAGAAAGAGAAAACTTCTCAGCAGCCTGTAAATGAAATWCTGGAAGGACTGGATCCTTCCAGCTGGTAAAGTGGTGAAGTGATCCTGCTCAGTCAGAAAGGTGTAACGAAGCACTGCCAGGCATTGAGATAAGAATGGCCCAAATAACTGACATAGTTAAACCATTGTCTGTTGTGCATGCTGGGAGTTCACGCACTTCTTGGGTGTCATTGACTGGAACAGGATCACTGAGAAAAGAGCAGACCACTGCTTGTTCATGGTACACATCCTTGCATCAGGCCACTCAGAGAAAAGGGTCTTGCATACACAAAAAGAACCCTGTGAGTACTGCCAGGGGTTAATCAATTAGTTGTCAAGGTACTCCAAAAGAAGGGTGTATATAAGGAAGCACTTTTATACAAAACATGGTGGAGTCCAGAGCAAAGATGAACCACTTCAGTCCTTCACACCTACCAGCTCATGGAAAGGCAAATTAGGAACAACAAATATTCACTGTAAGGGAGTTATCTGGAAGGAAGTGCGGGTGCCTTGGCTGTGTTTGCAGATGGGTCTGTAAGTTTTTCAAATGCTCCAGTAACAAATTGTTCAATAATACATAGGGCAGTGAAGTCATTTGGACAGAGTTGCACTCTTATCACGCTTTGTGCCGAAGAGTTTGTTCTGACATCTGTAAACAGTGTTGTCATTGCTGAACTGGTGGTGACGTTCCTAGAAGGACTGAAGAAGAGGTCACGATTTGCTGTGGCAATGCGCGAGAAAAAATCCCAGGGTAAGTCTCACAACTTATACAGGATGGGGAAAAAATCATGAGAGAATTCATAGCACTTGTTCAAAGGCACTCTTTTGGTTGACGGGGGCACAAGGTCACGCAGACACCAATATGATGAGCATGATCTGTTTATTTCTAATACAAGCTCCTTTTTATCTACTTTCATAAGCCAGCCTYTCTATATGATTRGYAATRCCYTTCYATATGATTARYAATTATTCATTGGTTAATTTAGCAGTCTGTCTATTACATTTCAGCATATGATTGGTAWATTTGCAAAAGCGTGTTTTTGTATGCCTTGCAGWTTTAAATCAATGTTCTCAGCATTTTGCACTTTCTTCAATCATCCTATTGTTCTTCAATTGCTCTTTGTTCTTGCTTCTTACTATGTTTCTTCTTCATGGTCAGCRYGAGGTACATGTTACACTGCTGTAGTCACGTCCTCCTCTTTCCCATCCTCTTCTATCTCATTCTGCTCTATCTTGTAGTCTGGGTTGCTCAGTAACAGCAATTCATGATCTCGTTCCCACAAAAACCTGTCTAACAGAGATTCACCTAACTGAGATCCTTCTACATATCCCCTTCTTTCTTTGTGAGCAACCCAGCCCTGCAACACAGTCTTTTCCACAAAATGATAAATGCAACACAACAAGCAACCTGCTATCAACAGAAGAGCAAACAAGGTTAATACAAATCGTAATCCTTCTAACAACACAGTTTTCAACCAACCTGTAATTCCCCATTTGCTTAGCCAGGTGGAGAAAGGATAAGTGTTAACCATAATTGAATGCTGATTAGCCTGTAATCTGAATGGAACTGGAATGATCAGAAAGATTAAAGCAACACATTCTTTCAAAATCTTCACATCCATGACCCTGTGCCAGCAAAAGAAAATCAATGGCCGCTCTATTCTGCAAAGTAGCATGT